CCTCTCAGCTGTTCTCTGTGTTCAACATTAGGGGACCAGGGCAGCAAACAGCTCTGTAGCAGCCAATCAGGGACAGGACTGAGAGTCCCTGGGGCTTGAGGACAGTCCTCAGCTTTCCTTCTGCACAGCCAATCAGAGGACAGCTCTCCTGTCCACTGCCCCTTGTCCATGTCATTCTCCCTTTGCTTCCTCCCCCTGCCTTGAACTCATGTCCCTCCCCTGCTCTCCCTGCTCTGCAGGCACCAGGCCTCCCTTTTGTCTCCCTGGAACCTGGTACTGCCCCCTGCATATTCAGTCTCAGGGTTCAAATCCCAGTCAGACTTCTGCTGCCTCCCAGACTGCTGCTCTCCACCTCTCAGATGCTCTTCTTATCTATTGCAGGGCTGAGCCCTTGTGAAAACCAAGGCCTGCATGTTCAAGTCTGTGTTTCTGGGCTTTCCAATACACTCCACTATCTGCTCATCTCTGTTCCTGTCCTGTAGTCTACTTACCATGGATTTAAGTCTGATCTGAATCTGGTCCACACTGCCTTTGTTTTATGTGTGCCCAAGGTCTTGTGGAACCCATGTTCACCTTCAATTTTCTATGTAGCTTCAGATGAGTTTGTACTCTTAATTTCCCCACATGCGCTTCCCAATGCTGGAATTAGGGTGTCTCCTACTGTGTCCCCATGTTTGTTTCTTACAATCCTTTTGATTTTAGAAGACAAATCATTTGTCTTTACAAAAAAGCAATTGGGATTTGAACAGAGACTGCATTGACTTTCTAGACTGCTTTGCATTATAAGGAGTTATTGTATAAATGTTTCCATTATGCAAATATCCATATATTTTTCAGTATTTTTCTATGTTTTATAAATTTATGTCATGCAGTACATATATGTATGTGTAGATTTGCATATGTGCACACACATGTCGGTGGTAGAGGACAACCTTGGGTATCATCCTGTAGGAGCTATCCACTATAGTTTTCGGGACAGGTCTGTCCTTGGCTTGGGGTTCCCTGATTGAGCAAGCCTGGCAGCATACTGACCCTCATGGATCCTATTGTCTCTTCCTGTTCAGTATCTGTCAATGTAGTCAACTTTATCTGTGAATCCTGGGGATGGAACCCATGTCCTTGTGTTTGTGGGTTAAGCACTTTACCAACTGAGCCGTCTCTGGCTGCTCTGTAATTTCTCTCAGCAGTGTGTCGTTTTTAGGATACAAATCTTTCACCTCTTATGGTGTAAGTTCTTCCCAGAAATGTTCTTTTCACCTGTGAGTTTATTGCACACCATGTCCTCCTTTTGTATAGATACCATATTCCCAACTCAAACATATCTCTCTCTTCGTGGTCTCACCTCCTGTGAGATGCTGTCCCTGCAGGCTGCTCAACCTCAGACCTTGTTTAGCAGCCACAGCTCTTTCCAAATGAGCAGTTAGCCCCTGGGTCTCCCATATGCCCCTTGAATTCCTTAGGAGCAGGCTGTGTTCATCTACACTTGATCCTCTAATTTCCAGCTGGGACTCTAGGGAATTAGGAACAGATTCAGTCCTGGGTGGGTTCAGCCTCCTTTCTGTCCTTCTGTTCCCTGTTCTCTGCCCCGCACAAGTTTCCTGTGCTGGCTGTTCTTGGCTGTGAACTGGACTGTATCTGGAATGAACTATAATGCAGACACAGAGGGTACACTTGGGATCTGGATCTTGAGGGAGGAAGACAGCATGCCTTGGATCCAGACCATGATTCTGGAAGTCACACCTTTCACCTGGGCCACTCCTTCTGTTTTAAGCCGGTATAAGGACAATGGAAGAAGGAAGGTGTTCTTCACCTGCTTGCCCTCACCTCTGTCACACATTCATTTCTGTCTTCGAGATCCCAGTAGAGCAGCTGAGACACCCAGCCTCGTGGACGGAGCAGCTACTGGGTTCTTGGTCTTTCCTTTCAAAACTAGTCATTGTTTAAAGGCAGCCATAAGTCATTTCAATAAATTCATATATATATATATGTATATATGCACATATATATGCACACACATATATTAATACATTCCATAAAAGTTCCGTTACTCTAGAGAACCCTGACTAATACACATACCTATCTCCATGTCCCACAACTGAGAAAACTCAGAGGTAAGCTCAGGTGAGGCCCTGTCCTGGACCACTCACCTTTTCTTCCACTTGAGGAAGATCAGCATCACATAGACGGGGGTTATGAGCACAGCCGTGGCCACCACCACCCCGACCATGGCTCCTATGTTCACAAGTGAAGGATTCCTCTGGCCCTCTGTGTGCTCCAGTCCAGCCATGGTGACTGCAGAGGTGATGATGGAGGGGCTCTTTGTGATGGTTCTGACTGCTGGGGAGAGATGAGGAGTGAGCAGATCCTCCCTGGATGAGGAGGGATGGGAGGAGTGTCACATCTTGTCTCCTCTGTGGGAGGTGGGATGGGGAGCAGCTGTTAGAAGTTCACAGAGGGGAACACATGCTGAAGGCTGAGACTCCAGGAGAGAAAGCTCAGTGCACACCTCCACCTGTCCTGGCTGTGTGTCCTCAGATTTACATTTAGTCACAGATAATTAAGTCATAGAAATACAGTTGTTTTGATCATAAATGCATGGAACAAACAGATGTCTCAGTCTGTATCGTGATTGCTCTCAGGAAATTTAGACCCCGAGTTTGATCCCTAGAATCCATTTGAGGAGCCTAGTGAGCTGGGCATGGCCTTTAATCTTAACCCTAGAGGCAGGGGCAGGCAGATCTATGTGAGTTAAAGCCAGCCTGTCTCTGTATATTTAGTTCCACACCAAACAGAGTTGAGTGAGTTGTGTCTAAGTAAAAGGAGGCGGAGACAGGCATGTCCCTGGGGCTCACTGGTTAGCCAGTCTAGTCTATCTACTTGGTAAACTTGACGCTAGTGAGAGACTGTCTCAGAAAATAAGGGAATGGCTCCTGAATGTTTCCTCTAGCTTCTGAATACATATGAAGAATTGTCAGCGATTACACAATACATACATACACACATACATACAGACAGACAGACAGACAGACACACGTGAATTAACAGAACCTCATGATCACACACCCAAAATACACAAAATGTAAAACAGAAAATATATAATTTTGATCGTAGGTGTCCAACTCAGTACAGTACAGGGCAGCATACATTCATCTGCTCTGCAATCCTTACTAAGGTCAAAGTCTACTTTTATATATTTGGAAACACTAGACCTACAGTTCCCAGCCTGTGGTTTGCTTCCTCCACAGTGGTAGAATAACATGATAACATGCAATCATATATTTACAGTATGATTCATAACAGTAGCAAAATTACAGTTATGAATCAGCAATAAAAATAATGGGGGGGGGGTTTCACCACAATGTGAGGAACTGTATTAAAGGATGTCTCCATTAAGAAGATTGAGAATCACTGCTCTAGACCCAAGAAGCATCTCCTTTCTCTCCCTTCTCTGAGCCCTGGCAGCTATGGTTAGACATTACATCAGGTCAACATGGCAGCCGTGGAGACTTCACAAGAACTGTGCTGTGGGCGTCCTCTCACAGGCTGGCTTTAATCCAGTCAACAGCCACTGCTGGATGTGGTGGCACAGGCCTTTATCTCAGCACTTGGGAGACAGAAGTAACAGGTTTCTGTGAGTTCCAGAACAACCAGCACTACATGGTGAGACCCTGTCTAATTAAAACCAAAACACCAATATATATATATATATATATATATATATATATATATATATATATATATATATATATATATAGAGAGAGAGAGAGAGAGAGAGAGAGAGGAACAGAGCAGAGCAAGGTTGTGGTCAACGAGGAAGTACATAGACTTCCCAGCTCCTGCAGGGCCATTTAAAGGGTGCAGGGGTAACAGTAGCATAGAGTTCCACCCAGTGTTCCCAGTGCATGGGTCTGCAGTTACTTCTGCTTCAGAGGAGAGGCAAGGATCAGAAGACAGAGCAGCCGCTTCATGAAAATGGGGGCATTAGTTCCCAAGTCCCTTGGGGCTTGTGTGGGCAAGGTAAGGGCAAGAGGGCAAGGAAAGGGAGAGGGGAGTTTGGAATGGAAACCCCATAAGAGAGTTGTAGGGAGAATTCCCACAGATTTTCACCTGGTTTGACTCCAGAGTGTTAGCACCTCACCTTAATCTTCCTTTTGTGACTGCTACATTTTGTCCCCTGTCCTCTCTATGTGATCCTTGCCTGAAATTTTTCTGAAGGTGCAAAGCCTATGAAAATTTGGTTGAAGCAGTGCTCAGAACACCTCAGGTTTTTTTTCATATGAGGATTTGGGCAGCTTAGATGAGAGGTGTTGAGGTGCAAAAATCATCTTGCTAAAAGATGTAAGTTGGAGAACACTAAAATGGCCCTCCCTAAGCTACAGGGATCAGTCTGAAGACAGGAAACCCAGGCAGCTAAAAGGGTTAGAATCATCCTTGAGGTGACTTATCTTTTGATTTCCTGAACCAGAGAGTGGGTAGGGAGAGGTGAGGGATGTATCCTGGGAGCTCGGACAGGAAATAGGGGACTGTGGTGACAGATGTCAGTTTACAGTTGGATTGTAGGACACCAGGAACATCCCGTGGGCATCTACTGCATGTTCTGGGCTTAGGTTGGAGCTGTGTGGAGATGCTCCATACAGGGACTAATTGGAGCCCTGACACAGGACCAAGTGAGTCAGCTACATTCTAGAAAAGTCAATCCACCTCAAAGTCACGGGGAAGGGGAAAGTGACCAGGACTGCAGTGTTAGTTTGGACAGAAAGGGGGTGAACTAGAGGGAAGGCCTCATGCTGAGATCTAGAGTGTGGTGGGGTTCCATCTGAGCAGAGGATGACAGACAGGTCAGAGGACACAGCAAAGACTTGTCACAACCACAGTGGAAAGATCCTGTGTCAGAGCCAAGGAAAAGGAATTTTAAACCATGGTCAGAATTGTGGAGCCTGAGGTGACAACTAGGGGACAAGGAAGCCAGAGGCATCAAAGCCTGAGCCAGGGTGGCTCACCAGGAGTGACGGTGAGTTGGGTCCCATTGATCGACTGAAAACTCTCCATGCCTTTTGTTGTTTTCAGATGAACTCGGCAGAAGTACACTGTCTGGTCTTTCTCCTTCAAGTTCAGGATTCTGAGGACTCCGGATGTCTGAGGCTGTGTCCAGTTCAGGACGAACCGGTCCTTGAAATGCTCATGGATGAAACCCGAGGAAGAGTTGTAGATATATTCCCCATGGTAGTGCTTCCATCTCCAGAGAATCCTCATCTGTGGATCCTTTGCCAACTCCCAGGGGAAGTAGAAGAAGAAGGGGATCTCGATGGAGCGGCCCTGGACACCAGAGATGCGTGTTGGCTGACCAAATCCATAAAGCTTTTCTCTGTTGGATTCTGCTGTGTTCCCTGAGAAGGATGGGGAGAATGTGAAGCCACTTCAGGGATGGAATGGACAACCCAGAGCTTCCTGAGCCATCACCCATAGAAAGGTGTGGGAGACAGGAGAAAACTGTCCTTACGTCCCACTGTCCCATATGAGATAGGACAGATGGGGAACGGTTGGGCTGGACCAAGTCTGAGGATGAGCTTTCTCTTGGGGCACAGAGGACAGGTTGGCTCATAGAACAGGCACCTCTCCACATGCCAGCCGACTCTTCCCAGCCCCACTAACCCCTCCTGTGGTTAAGTCTCCAGTAGTGAGGTCCCCACCACTCACCAGCTTGCAGGCATGCTGTCGGCAGCAGCAGAAGCAGGACCCAGGCCATGTCTGGAATCCCTCCAGGAAGAGAGACCAGCAGACCCATCAGGAGGGAGAACAGGTCCTGTGGAGGGTCCCTGGGGTTGTCAGAATTCAGAAGACAATCAGAACAAAAATAATCCCATCCCCTGAGCTGTATGTGGAGGACTGAGTGGGGGCAGGACCTCCCCATCTCCACCTCCTGTGGCCAGCGACTTCCTTTATCATTCTGGCTTCTTCTTCCCCGTGTTGCACAAGATCTGCCCTTGTGGTCTCTGAGAAGGTGACTGTGCCCTTGAGTCCAGCCCCCATTTTGGCTGGAAGATACAGCCCTGACCTCTGCATGCCAAGCTCTCCTCTCTTCCACCTTGACCTCCTGTGTTATCCAGTCTTTCCCATTCCCTATGCAGCCTGTAATCACTGTTTCCTCAGCTTCATAATTTCCTCCACTCCTGCCCTCCCCCCAGTCTGTTTCTCACTATGTCTCCCCTCATGCTGGTTGTCTGTGTTTCTCTGTGTTTCTCTGTCTCTGTCTCTGTCTCTGTCTCTGTCTCTCTCTCTCTCTCTCTCTCTCTCTCTCTCTCTCTCCTTTCTCATAATTGCAGTTAAGGGAATGATCATTTTCTGCTCACAAGACACACGAGGAAGGAGGTGGTGAAGAAACACATTCAATCCCAGCCCTAGCTTGGTGCCCCCGCCATTGTCTGCTCTTGGCACTCTTGCTACCTTTCAGGGACTCCTCACAGCGGCCCTGGAAAACTAAGGCTCAGTGGACACTCTCGCCCTGGCGCTTGCTGCTGCCAAGTCTTTAACTTCCCTGTGCTTCTGGGTAAGTTATAGACTCATCTCCCTCACCTCGACAGTGACTCCAGAGCTACTCCAGTTTCTGACAGAGCCTTTTTGCCTCCTGCCACCCTTATCACACACTCAGAAGAGGAAACCAAAGGTCAGAGAAGCCTGGTACATGTCACATGACTGGCACACGGCAGGTGACTGGATTTCAGTCCAACTGACTTCTCCTAGTCTCACTCCCCACACTGACTTCCAGCTGCCTGCTCGGTGCAGCCTCTGAACTCCCCTCAAGGCCACGGATCTTCCGCTGGGCTCCAGGGAGGCTGTTCCCACAGAACACTTCAGTGATTCCTTCTAGCTGTGGCTGTTCTAGAACCTTCTTTGAATGCAGTGGGCAAAAAGGGTTCAGAGCAGCAATGTGTCAGTCATGATATATTGCCTGGGACATCTCTGAGAGTGAACACAGCTGGTCTGTGAATAGTCAAGTCGTGAGATGTGGGGGCAGTGGCTGTGGTGGCCAAAGGGCTGGTTCTGTAGGAGGTCATCCTACCCTTCCCCATGACAAGGTGCCATCAGTTCCCTGAAGGGCAGGAAGACAGAGGAAGTGGCATAATTCTTCCAGAGTGACATGCGCAGAGGCGACTCTCCATTCTCTTAGATTCCCTGGCATTGACTGCCTTCTCCATGCTTCCCTGCAGGTCACTGTGCAGCACCCTCTGTCATGTCTGCTTTCTCTGCCTTCCTCACAGTCCCCATGGTCCCACGACCTGAGCTCTCATGGTCTTGGCCCTCATTCCCATGGCCTCACTACCAGCTACACATGGACTCACTTCTGCATCTATCCTTCCTGTCCTTGGAGATGCAGAGCACACAACCTTTTGGATAATTTAGCCCCAAATGAACCATCAGTCAGGAGAGGGCACTGGGCCTATTGTACCTGTCAGAAAGGCCTTTCTTATCGGATGGTGTCTCATGTAGCCCAGGCTGAGCTTTGAACTTGTTACGTAGCCAAGGATGACTTTGAACTCCTACAGAACCTCTGCTCTGCCCTCCCATGTGCAGGGTGACAGGCGTGACCCATTGTGCACATTTGTCCCCTGCTGGAGATAGAACCCAGTGTTCCTCAAATAACACAGTGAAGGGCAGATTGGCCCCACCCCAGCAGACAACTCATAGATGACAATTGTCCATCTGTCCACCCATCTGTCACACCATCTACTCTCCTACTCCTTGAATTCTTTGCTTTGTGTCTAAAACTCACTTATGAGTGACTGCATGTGATGTTTGTCTTTCTGGGCCTGAGTTACACCATACTCAATATGATTTTTTTAGATCTATCCATTTGCCTGCAAATTTCAAGATGTCATTTTTTTCTGCTGTGTAGTACTCCATTGTGTAAATGTAACACAGTTTCTTTATCCATTCTTTGTTCAAGGGGCATTTAGGCTGCTTCCAGATTCTGGCTATTGAAGAGGCTCCTTATGGAGTTTGATAGCCATTTGGGCAAGAAACTGCTCTTGCCTGGACTGTTACATGAACTGGATTCGAAAAACCCGCAGAGAGAGGACTGCTAAACTTGCCTAAAGGTGAGATGATCCTTTGGGGTTCTTTATTCATGAAAGAGTCTGTGAGACATTCTGCAGACACAGCAGAAAGTGACTAAACTGTCTTTAAAATTTCCTCCTTCATGGAAATGTCTTCTGTAGGCCAAAGATGGATGCCCCAACGGTACATAGCAACTCTGGGTGACTGTCCAGGCAGCGAGATGTCTCCGTCGTTTCTACAGTTTAGAAGTTGCTTATTTCTTGTTTAATTAGGTAATATTATATCCTTCTGGAGTCTTTGATGGAGTTAAAAAATAGATAAATGGTTATAGTTTTTGTTGTTCTTAATTCTGTGGGTTAGAGGGTAAAGACGTTACGCGAGGAAGAAGACACAGACACGCAGCGGTCCCACGTGGGTGCACTTTAATAGGGGAGGGGTAACAGGCAGGTAAGGGGTGTGCGGACACGATGGGAAAGGCGGGGAGAGAGAGAAGGGAACTCGTGGCGGCGTTTGCTTTTTAACGGGGAATGCAAAGGCTTCTGGGAAATGTGTCCTGCACTTGCGTGGCTGGCATTTGTGGTCCAGCGGAACGCTGGGAGCTGTAGTCTTGCAAAGGAACAACATTTCACCCTTTTGGTTCAATTAAAAAAATTGGGGGACCTTAAAGGGTAGGGAATGGGGGCGTAGCCCAGTCTCTCATGACTGCTTCCTGCTGGCTCTGGGCGTTGAAGGGTCCAGGGAATTTCTGATTATTCTGGTGATGTCCCACTGGCGTCTGAGGTCGCTGGTGTCTGGCGATGTCCCACTGGCGTCTGAGGTCGCTGGTGTCGCTGATCGCTGGTGTCTGGGATGGCTGATTGTACCGCTGGCATTTGAAGTCCTGGCTGTCGTCTGAGGTGGCTGATTGAAGAAATCTGTCTGGCTTTTCCTGAGTAGCTGGGTCATCATTAAGATGCTGGAAGGCAAAAGTTGCATTAATAAAAGGAAAAATTAAAAAGTGGGGGGATCGCTATCTGGGCGCTGGGTCCGAGTACCCGGGGCCCCCGGGCGGGCAGCAGTTCCTTTGTTTCTGTGGCCTGCCTGCACCAAGCGGGGTAGGCGCTTTGTCTGCGAGCTGCCCAACCAGCACGGAGGCCTGATCTTTCGGCGCCAGGAGACCCAGCATTGGGGTGAGTTTCTGGCCCACGGCGCCAGCCTGGGACGGGGAGCTCGGGGGTTTCTTGGCCCCCTGTCCTGCTTGGGCTCTCTGCAGGGCCTCTACTCCCCGGGTGCTGCCTCTTTCTTCCTGGCCCACCCAGCTTCCGTCCAGAGCCCTCCCCACTTCGCTCCCACTACCCTCTTTTGGCGCGTGGCATCGCCCAGCGCAGCCTATCTGGGCGCTGGGTCCGAGTACCCGGGGCCCCCGGGCGGGCAGCAGTTCCTTTGTTTCTGTGGCCTGCCTGCACCAAGCGGGGTAGGCGCTTTGTCTGCGAGCTGCCCAACCAGCACGGAGGCCTGATCTTTCGGCGCCAGGAGACCCAGCATTGGGGTGAGTTTCTGGCCCACGGCGCCAGCCTGGGACGGGGAGCTCGGGGGTTTCTTGGCCCCCTGTCCTGCTTGGGCTCTCTGCAGGGCCTCTACTCCCCGGGTGCTGCCTCTTTCTTCCTGGCCCTCCCAGCTTCCGTCCAGAGCCCTCCCCACTTCGCCCCCACTACCCTCTTTTGGCGCGTGGCATCGCCCAGCGCAGCCTATCTGGGCGCTGGGTCCGAGTACCCGGGGCTCCCGGGCGGGCAGCAGTTCCTTTGTTTCTGTGGCCTGCCTGCACCAAGCGGGGTAGGCGCTTTGTCTGCGAGCTGCCCAACCAGCACGGAGGCCTGATCTTTCGGCGCCAGCAGACCCAGCATTGGGAGAGCCAACATTGGTGAGAGACAGCGTTTGGTAGGCAAGGAGACCTAATCCGGTAAAAGAAGATCCATAGGGAGCATTTGGAAGAAGAGATGGGCCGACGTCAAGGCAAGAATTCGCCCAACAAGCTGAAAAGCAACATGAAGCTACCAGAAACAAGCGACCCCACAACGGGAGGACAAGAACCCCTTAATCAAGAGGAAGGAGAAAAGATTGACTTCATGAAAGTGATTGACACCCTTAAACAGCATGTAAAAAACGCCCTTATAGAAATGGATGAGAAATATAACAGAAAGTTTGAAGAATTGAATAAATCAGTGAATGATACCCTAGAAAACCAAGGAAAAACAATCAAACAGATAATGGAAACAGTTCAAGACCTGAAAACTGAAATAGAGGCAAAGAAGAAAACACAAACAGAGGGCCGTCTGGACATGGAAAATCTAGGTAAACGAATAGAGACTACAGAAACAAGCATAACCAGCAGAATACAAGAGATAGAAGAAAGACTCTCGGATTCTGAAGATACCATAGAGAAAATAAACACACTGATCAAAGAAAACAGCAAGTCCAACAAACTCTCATCACAAAACATTCAGGAAATATGGGACACAATAAAGAGACCAAACCTAAGAATAATAGGAGTAGAAGAAGGAGAAGAAGGGCAGCTCAATGGTCCAGAAAATCTATTTAATAAAATTATAGAAGAAAACTTTCCCAACCTACGGAAAGATTTTCCTATGAAGGTGCAAGAAGCATACAGAACACCGAATAGGCTGGATCAAAAAAAAACATCCCCTCGCCATATAATTATCAAAACACAAAGCATACAGAATAAGGAAAGAA